AATCTATGGTTTTATTTCATAACATTTAAATGTATACCCATTAAAAATTTTCTACCGAGATATTTTCATTGGCGCCTATGTGTGCCGTTGCTTAAAAGGGTTGAGAATTTAGTGGATTAAAGTGTTAGTTCGTGAATTTGTGAGTTCAATCCTTGGGCTAGGCAGTACAGTCTTAGACACAGTGGAAACAAGGTGGGTAATATCTGAGCAGTACGAAATACTGCAGTCGGGATCACAGAGTCATTATGAACTACTCGATGCTGCATATCGTATGATGGTGCTTCGCTAGGGCTACATACCGTATAGAAATAAATACTATAATAGTGTTATTAATAAATAAGAGACATGACAGCAAAGCTTCAGTAACAACAGCAGCAGCAGTAAGAAAAGGGAAGCGGTGGTGAATGAAGTTAAGCGCGACAGTAATACATTCTAAAATCAGAGTTATCCTTCTTCTAGAATGGTTGCCATCCAAGACTGAAGAGCCCTGTAAGCTCTGCTATTTAATTCATAGTTTAGTGTACATGGATATTTGTGTATAAGTTAAATGAAGCGGAGTCGACTGAAATTCGAAATCGGATCTCCGAGTCGCTAACAGTTATACCGCCTGCACACCTTAGGTACTAGGTATTTACTCTGTCTCTACTCTAAGACGAGTTCTGACACAAGGTCTTTTTTTTTTAAGGTGGGAACCCGAGCGCGTGTACCCGGGCGAGAAACAAAAATCGCCCGCAGCCCCCACAACCGTCGCTTGCGCTGGCCTCGGTGCGAGCACTGATCTCTCTCTCTCTCTCTCTGGTGCAATGAGAGGGCGCGGCCTCGAGCAGCTGTCCCCAGAGCTGGGCCCCTCTCAGTATAATTTTCCTCAGTTGCGACTCTGACGGAGTTGCCCCTGAGTGCACTCTGCTCAAAGACAGAGACGCACATTCTACATACTAATTAAGAATACGAGATCTCCCTCGGCATAGGCAGTGGAAGGCCGATAATCTATTCCGAGGCATTAAATAAAGGACTCAGTTCGAAATAAACGGACTCCCCACAATTATTGTATATTAATATATTTGGAAAATATGTTTCAGTTCTCACATTCGATAAACATCGAGTAATAGAAACACTCAGCACAATATCCTATAATTTTTTATGGTACGTGTAAACTAGCTTGTAAATAAAAGATGTTTTCATTTTTTTTTTTTAACTTGTAATGACATAATTCTCACTGGTAAGCAATTAGTGTTCCAGAAGACAAAAATAGCATGGACATTTATCATCAACGGCGACAGAAATCTTGACGTATGTTTTCCTTTTCACAGATTAGAGACGATAATCTAAAGAACGAATATATTATTCTTTTTTTAATTTTGAAATAAAAGCGCAAAATGTTCTTTAGTAAGCATCTATAAAGCACAAAAGTTAAAATAAAGATTATTTGTATATTAATTTTTACTAAATATGAATTTATAAAAACGATATATATATATATATGTGTGTGTGTGTGTGTGTGTGTGTGTGTGTGTGTGTGTGTGTGTGTGTGTGTGTATAAAAGGTTAATTGTTAGAATTGAATCAAACCAGGAAACAGTAGTATTAAAAAATGCTCAATACACGCCTGAAAAAACAGAAATAAATCAGGAGGTCAGTTGAATCTGCTACCTTGGTTTCAACCTCACGCTATCCTCTGGCGATTTTTATCAAATGACTACTTAACGCATTTTTTAAAAATAAAAAACAAACTAAAGAACGCTGCACGCACGCACGCACACACACACACACACACACACACACACACACACACACACACACATATATATATATATATATATATACCTCCAAAGATTGGCTGAAAATGAGCATACATAATGAAAAAATGCCCCAAACTTAGTAAAAAGAAACTTTTATTGTCAATGTATCTATTTTATAAACAAGAAGAAAGACCAAATGATTTTCGATTAGTAATTTAGATTTTTTCTTCCTTTTTAGAAGCTTTGAATTTTTGGTTAGAATTTTCGTTTTTCCTTGCGTCAGTGGTGGATCATAAATTAGCATGGGAAATTTTAGTATCTTTTCCGACGCCGCTTAACCTCAGTGATCAAATGAAAACCAGTGTTTTCAGCGTGACCGTAGGCACTTAGTACAGTAAACAAGGAAATTGAATACAGATTGCGCTAGTGATAGTTTGTCTAATACTGTAGATGCTAGAAAAATATTTAACCTCAGAACTCGAGTCATTAAATAGCCTAGTCAGATTTAGACTCGCATACGGATGTCGGGCATGGCGTCCAACACATTTAGAAGTATTAAGTTTCATCTATATACAACCGTTTTCCCAGATAGATAATTAAAAGTGGATTTAAACGAATGAATCCTTTAAGTGAGAGTTTTGTCCGACCCGCCAACTTAACACTAATTGTCTATATCTCTGAGATGAGGTATTATAATTACTTACATTATTTACATTATTCGGACTGTTATCCTCATCTTCATTCACAACGTTGCAACCTTTG